AGCAAACTGGTGTGTGTGTGTGGGGGGGGGTGGGGTGAGGATGGGTTAGGAAAGCTTTATAAAGAGGTGTTTTACTGGTAGGAATGCTTCATTCATGTTCAACTTCACAGGAGACAAAGTCAAGGCTGAGAAAAGCTAGGCAGTGTGCCCAGGGCTGTGGCTGGTAAATAGGAGGTAGATCAAACCCAGACCTTGATTCCCACCTGGGACCTCATCAGGATAGCCCACTCCCATGTACCTGCACCCTGCTTGGGGCACACAAATGATTTTCTTTTGTGCCATTGGCAGACGCCTGGTCTTAATCATTCTGAGTGTGTTTGCATCAACCCTGGTAGGGTCTGTGGGTTGGGACAAGCAGCAGAATGTGTGTTTCAGGCTGGAGCAGGACCCACCAGGGCGTACCAGGTCTGCAGGGAAGTTCTCCTCCCTAGTGAGGAGTTCTCAAAACCATCTAGTGCCGCTCTTCAATGAAAATTTGGCCTCTTTTAATTCTTACCAGTGCAAAACCTTGCACATCTTTTATAAATATTTCATTCCCTTCCAGCAGCAAATTTCCTGGTGCCCAAATCCTGGTGTGGCCATCTCCTCTGTGCTTGGCAGTGTTTCCCCATGTAGCTGTGGGTGGAGGAAACGATTACCACCTCTTTCCTGGCACCAGAGAGCTTGTAGAGTACATGCCAGAAGAGAAAGAGGAAGCTGGGGGAGGGAAGTGACCATCCATAGTCTCTGAAGTGACAGTCAGGGCTCAGATCCCATTGGGCTGACGAGGGGACCTTGAGATCATCCTCTACAGTGATGAAGCTTTGCAAACTATGATGTGCTGTGGAAGTCTGGGCAGGTCACTTACAGGCAGGGGTTTAATGCGTCTAGACTGCTAGGGGTCTGAAGGGATCCATAGACAGTTCTTGAACACTGGAGCATCAGGAGTGAGGCTGGTGTCTGTTGCCTCTTGCACAGCTTATTCAGCTTTTTCCAGTGGGAGAGCCTACTAGACACTCGCGGGGTCCCTAAATGAAGCACTGTTCAGGCTGGGGACAGGTTGAAGGAGCCTCCTAACTGATGGTGCTTTTGCTCCCAGGAGATTTTGTAGGAGATGGGGAGGGTAGGGACACTGCCTAGGAGCATTGTCTCTTGTCTTAGCTGGCTCTTGGGCAGAGTCAGACCCAATAACTATGTGAGTACCCTGAGGGAAGAAAGAGCATCTTTTCTTAAAACATTTTGTTTGGTGAGCTGGCTGTAGCAGGGGAAGCAGCTTCTTCTCCACTCAGCCTTTCTCAGGACAGGTCAGAAGCCCCACTAACCATCGTCGAGGTCCATCACCAGGCTCGCGGGAATGTTTCGGGCACCAGTGCTCCTCTGTGCTGGTCCCAGGAACTCACAGAGTGGAGGCAGAACTCATCATTGCCCTCCTGGAGCTCACAGTGTACAGGAGGGCTCAAGAAAGTGTGAGAAAGAGAAACTCCCACCCCAACAACAGCTTTCTGAGCCACAGAGGCCTGTTGCCCAGTGGGCTGGAGGAGCTGTGATCTGAGAGGTGGTGCTCCTCATGGGTCTGGTTTTTCACTTCAGTGTAGGAATGGAAAGAGGCACAGAACAAGCCATCTGGAAAGGCCCTGGTGAAGGAACAGGCTGTGGTCAGTCCCACTGTACCCAGGCATTGCTGCAGGATTTATAAATAGATATTTACATATTCTTCCTAAGAGTGTAGGCAGGATTGAAGGAAATCAGTGAAGGAGGAGACAGATGTGACACTCAGCACCGGTGCAGAGGTATTACATACCTGGGGACCAGCTCCTAGGACCTTTAGTGAGTTGATCTTGTTGAGAGTTGGTTGGACCAACCAGAAGAGGCCACAGGGGCAGTCGATGTAGCTTATACAGGAAGGTAGAGCACAAGATAGTGGTGGGGAAAGTGGGGGTGCCTTGCACAGCCCTCTTCTTCCTAGAAGGCTTGAAAGTCCTACAGTTCTTCTTTCACTTCAGAAGGAGCCATCCTGTTCCTAGGCCACTGGGCTGCTAGGAAATTTATTAATATGGCAGGTTCTTGAACTTGGTGATGTTTGTCTCCCACACTCTCTCATGCCTGTGTTTCACCAAGGCACATTGTCAGTATAATAGACCAATAAAGTGGCCCATAAGATGTGAAGGTGACCAAGCTCTTCCTTTCTGCAGTGTAACAGAGCAGGAAAGGGCTGTCACTTTAGATGGGACATATAGTGCAGGTGTTTTGCCTTCTAGGTCAAGTGAAGGGAGCTTTCTGATCTTTTTTACTGACAAGGTTGGGAGTGGTGCTGGGAGGCAGGGGAGCCTGGCATCTGGTGTTTAGTTTTTGACCCAGAAAATGCTGTGTTGATTTTTTCCGGTAAATGCATCCCATCCGGAACTGTTAGCATTATAGCATATTAAGTTTCTAACATCTCCTGCTATTCTCCAGCATCCATCTGGCTTTTGAATCAGCTCTGCAGGTGAGCTATGCAGAGATGCAGTGGGTTCACACCTGCATGTTTTATATTTACCTGCTTATTTACCAGGATGTGTTTCATTCTTTCCTGAAGACCTGAGTTTCTGTCTGGAGTCCTCCCCCGAGGCAGGACAGATTTTTAGTAATCACGATATACAATTCTACTGGTGATACAATCACCCATTTGTCAAAGTGTCTTTGTTTTGTTCTTGAAGGTTATTTTCCTTGAACATAGAATTCTGGGCTGACAACGTTTCCTTTTAACTCTTCAAAGATTCACTTCCACTGTTCTCTGGCTCCATCGTTTATGCTCAGAAGTCAGCAGTATGCACCTTGTCCCCTGTATGTACCTGCATTGTCCTTCTGGCTGCTTTCCAGAAAGTCACTCTTTGGCTTTCAGAAATTTGACTCCAACATGTGCTTTTCTCTGTTTTTATCTTGCTCGGGGTTCAGTGAGCTTCTTGAATCTGTACATTTGTCTTTCACCAAGTTTGGTGAATTTTTATCTGTTATTTCTTCTGTTATTTTCCCTGTCTCATTCTGTTTTTCCTTTCCTTTTGCGACACCTTTTGATACTATTCTCAGGTCCCTGAAGGTTTGTGCATTTTTTTTTCTCAGTCTTTATTCCTCTTTGTCCTGGCTACAACTTTGCATTATATAATGTTTCCTCAAGGCAAGGGATTTGTGGTTCCTGAGGATAGGCTCAATGCTGGCTGAGGTGGTGGGATTGAAGGCCAAAAATGGTGAGGAGAAAGACCCTTAGAGGCAAATGCGCAATACTATCTCTGTCTTAAGAATGTGGTCTTGGAAGATGGGTCATGGCACACACTTGTGCTATGGAAGAGACAGACGAGCCTTACATGACCAGGCCCCAGCACAGTAGGATACTGTGGTGGGGCAGAGGACTCAGGTCTGGTAGGTTCCTGCTGTGTCCTGGTCTCAGCAAATGTGCCCAGCAACTTACCTGGAAACACTGTCTTCCCATGCATCAGATGAAGAAACCTGTGTTGTAAGAAATCCTCCGGAATCAATGTCATGAAGCTAAATTGGTGACATGATTCAGGATAACAAATGAAGCCTTTTTGACAAGGCAGAACAATTAGGACTGTCCTTCAACTTCTCAGTCTAAGCATTGTTCACAATCGGATTCTTTTCAGGCAATATTCCTTCTAGGATCTGAACCAACATCTACTGGATCTTATGTTCTTTTTGTCTTATTGTGAGATGCTGTCCTGGCTCTCTTATCATTGCTGGTCAGCTGGGTGACCTGGCAAACAACCTTACCTTTGTAGCTCATCATCCTTGTTCTGAACGTGTGCAAATGTAGGCCCAACTGTGCAAAGTTGCTGAAGGGGAGAAGGGACAGATGGGAAGTTACATGAAAGCTTCCAAAGTTCATACAGAGACAAAGTCTTTAGAGGCTGTGTGTTTCCTCTTTTCTATAAGGCTACAGTCACACTGGTGGAACTTTATGCCCTCCAGTACTAGGGAAATATTTTACCTTTTAGGTATTATTTAGGTGTAGAGGATACCAGTGAATACGACATTATAATGCTCATGCTCATGGTATTTATGTCTCATTCTCACTCTGCCACTACCTCTCTCAGTGCTAAGTCTTAGTTTTAGCCCCATTCTTGGCAGCTAAAACCTCTGGGCTCAAATCCCAAGTCTGAAGAAGTCATTACCCTACTATTAAGTCACTAACTCAGTTTTCCTGTCAGCAGTGTCAGGATGATTATGCTTATTTTATAGGGTTATTAGACCGTTAGACTGAATGACACGCATTCAAAAGGAGTCGGCGGAGAGCCTGGCACTCAGCAGCACTCTTTGAATCTTCACTCTTCATGTAGATCTGTGATGGGCCTAATTTTCTCCCTTGAGCTTCACACTTTGTGGTTTTCTTAGGGGGAAATAGGCTGTTTTCTTTAAAAACTGCGTATTGCTCTAACAGCACTGAAATGCTCCTGATGTCAAAGCACAAGTGACATTTCTTGGTTGAGTCTCTTCTGCTTTCTAGGTTACAGTACAGGCTGAGCATCCCTTAGCTCGTACTGCCTGTGCAGTGCAGTAGAAGCATTTGAGATTTTGGATCTCCTCACCTCTTCCAGCTTTTGAGACATTTGCATATACATAATGATGTACCTCAGGCTGGGGACCCAATCTGAACACAAAATTCACTTGTACCCTTTGCCTGAAGGTAATTTCATACAATATTTTAAGAAATTCTGCATAGGAAAAAAGTTTCATGGTGTGGGATTTTCTGCTTGTGGCTCACGTTAGCAGTTAAGCGTTTTGAATGTCCGAACCTTGTGGATTTCAGGTTAGGAATGCTCAGCCTGTGTTCACCCTATAGCATATGACTTTTAAAAAGCAGGACAAAAACCAGACCTTGGCTCTCTTTGGTTCTTCTCCTGCCCATGGGATATAGGAGGATATAGTCGTCCCTAACCTCCCAACCAGAGCGCCTCCGTTATAGCCCTGCACAGCGCAGAGCCCCGGGGCTGCTACTGATGGTGGCCCCTGTTGTCTCCCTCCTGCAGGTTACGGGCACGCGGCACCGGGCACCGACGCGGGCAAGGCCTTCTGCATGTTCTACGCTGTGCTCGGCATCCCCCTGACGCTGGTCATGTTCCAGAGCCTGGGCGAGCGCATGAACACCTTCGTGCGCTACCTGCTGAAGCGCATCAAGAAGTGCTGCGGCATGCGCAACACCGAGGTGTCCATGGAGAACATGGTGACCGTGGGCTTCTTCTCCTGCATGGGCACGCTGTGCATCGGCGCGGCCGCCTTCTCTCAGTGTGAGGAGTGGAGCTTCTTCCACGCCTACTACTACTGCTTCATCACGCTGACCACCATCGGCTTCGGGGACTACGTGGCGCTGCAGAGCAAGGGCGCTCTGCAGAGGAAGCCCTTCTACGTGGCCTTCAGCTTCATGTACATCCTGGTGGGGCTGACGGTCATCGGCGCCTTCCTCAACCTGGTGGTCCTCCGGTTCCTGACCATGAACAGCGACGAGGAGCGCGGAGAAGGCGAGGAGGGGGCGGCGCTCCCCGGCAACCCCAGCAGCGTGGTCACCCACATCTCGGAGGAGGCCCGGCAGGTGCGCCAGCGGTACCGGGGCGAGGGCGGCGATCTGCAGTCCGTGTGCTCCTGCGCCTGCTACGGCTCGCAGCCGCAGAACTTCGGTGCCACGCTTGCCCCGCAGCCGCTGCACTCCATCTCCTGCAGAATTGAGGAGATCTCGCCAAGCACACTGAAGAATAGCCTCTTTCCGTCCCCCATCAGCTCCGTCTCGCCGGGCCTGCACAGCTTCGGTGACAACCACAGGCTGATGCTGCGTCGGAAGTCCGTCTAAGTGTGGGGAGGGCGTAGAACGGAAGAGTCATTGGTCATGTGGCTGTAAGTTCCATTGGCCCAACTCGTCTTCCCCTCCTTATTTATTTATTATTGTTATTATCTTTTGTTATTTTTACAGTCATCACCATTACTTTCTCTCCTCCGCCCTCTCTCGGTTTCATTTCTTTCCCCACCTTTCTAGCCAGCCAGAGCAGCCCAAAGGGAAGCTAGAGGCCCATCCTCTGAGACTCGCATCTGAGCGTGAAGCGTGGATTTCTTCTGTCCTCCCCAGCAAAGGATGCCTTACATTCCCCCCTGCCCTTCCCCTTTCTCTGGGGTGGCTTCCTAGGACAGGTGTGAGACCAGAACACCGAGGCAGAGCTGAGAGGATGCCCACCCCGAAGCTGCTCACCAGGCTGAGCCCCTTTGGCCACTGCCCCTGGCGGTGTGTCCACCTAACTCTTTCTCTTTTCTTCTCCAAGGACTGGGTGGCCGTGTGTCTATGTGTGTGGCGTGAGTACGTGTGCGTCTGTGTGCGGGTGTCTTTTGTGACAGGATGAAGGTGTCAGGAGTTCATTTTCCTTCCCCCTCACATGACGAGTTTTTGTTGATTGCCTTTTTGGCTACTTCCAGACACAATGGGAAAACCCATGAGGGTTTTTAGTGCACCATCTTGCCAAATTAAGCATGTTCCAGGAGCAGGATTTACCCTAAAGGTGTCCTGACCACGGTTTTAAAACACTAGGCTCTAAATTATGTTAACGTTTTCCCAGTGGGTGGTGGGCAAGAAGACACTGAGGACTTTAACTTGCCAGTTTAAAAAATTTAAAAAGCATGCACTTTGTAAACTGGCACCCTTCATTGACACAAGAAAGCAAATGGAACGATGGAACAATCAAAAGCCACTAATATTAATTTATTAAAGACACTTTTAATTTCCATCATCTCCAGTTCCAACAATCTGCCACACAGCTGGAGTTGTCAAGAGAAACTGGGAAATTGTTGGGATCACAGAGTATCTATTTTATTATTTCCTTCTTATTGATGATGACGATGACGACGATGATGATTCTGTGTAGCATCTACTATGTGAATAAGAATTATAGTTTTGGAATGCTTGGATGAGAATGGGTATTAGTATGTGGATGTGGTTTCCTAATAAAAAGTGACAGGGCACTCCTTGTTTAATATATGTATATTTCAAGAAAGATTGTCTCTAATTGCTTTTGATTTGTAAATAGGGGAACGTTCACGTTGGTCTCAGGAAGAGTTTAGAGGCTGTATCTTGGCCTACTGGGAACTTGTCAATCTCAGGGGATGCTTTTGTCTAGATAGTGGAGAAATTCCTCCCTGCTCTCAGTAGGGGTGACCCCAAAGGGAAGACTTGCTAACCTCTTAGGGGACAGTTTAGGCTAAAGAATATGGCACATTGTAGGCCCTTACACTGGCAGGAATAAGGGACAGTTTGACCTCCACATTCACTGAGGGGACTTTAATTTCTCTCATCATCATCCCTATCATTTCTAAAAGTCACCCATTCACTCATCCCCCATCCCCCTTTCGTACACTGGAAGTTCCTGCTCCTGGACCGAATGGGCTTTGGCTGCACTACGCAGAAGGAGCACGTTTACTGGCCTCCGGAATTTCTTAAAGGAAACAACACCCAAATGCCACCCGTCCCAAGTATGTGGGCCATTGGGCTGAAACCAGGAGCATTCAAAACTCCTCTGGAAAGGCTATGCATGCACTTTACTGCCACACCTTGTGTTGAAATGTCCCCTTCGTCTAGGACACAGGACCTTCGGAAAGAGTCTGTGAACCTTAGACTCTCTTGGCCAAAGTTGACAGTTATCTTCAAGGTTTTTATTAGTTCACTGATTTTCCAGATCTCGTTTTATGAAGCGCCCTACCTAGGGCTCTAAAGTATATCCAGAGGATAGAAGCAGTTGCTCTTGTTGAATTTGTTCCTCTCTGAAGAGAGTGTTGGCTGTAGGAGGTCATACAGAGGTGTAAAAATATGAATGCATACTTACAGAGTACTTTATGCTTTGGAGGAGGCTGCCTGGAATACGTATAGGAGTTCTCTGGAAAACCTCTGTAAGATTTGCCCTCAAATGGGGGGTGTGTGTATGATAATCTTTGATCTTCACATGGCACTGAAAGGATGAAGAATTTGCTCAACATTGCAGAGCTGATCCTTGACAGAACCGAGACCATAGTCTCAGTCCCAACCCCCAAAAAGGCCACAATGCCAACTCCTCCATGCCAAGGTCCAGGGATTCTGCTTCTCTGTCTCCACAGGGATATATGCTAGGCCCTTGGAGTCAGTCAGAGGGACATTGGCTCCAACCTTCCCTTCAGAGCTGATTTGCTACTAAAATACCTGTGTAAGGTGGTCATGCAGTGACCAATCTGCTTGGATGTTTCAAGTGACAGGGAGTGCCTCTCTTCCCAGGGAAACATAGAAAACATTCTCTATGTTTCCACAGAGTTGACTCCCTTCTTTGCAGCAAGGTAGGATGAACACTTTCTTTCTTTTCTCATGATGACAATTTAAGTAGTGGAGACAACTTATACCTTGTCTTGGTTCTGCGTCCCTCTGGTGTCTTCTGACCTTTGCTACTAGCTCAGCCCTCTGAAGGAAGAGCACCAAGTTTTCTTCTCCAAGGTTAAGCTTGCAGTGTATAGGGCATGGAGTGGATCTTTTTCTCAGATGTTCTGTCTGTTCCTCTTGTGTGATCTGGCTACCAAAGGCCCTGGGCACATCCAGTAAATGCTCTTAGGTGAGAACAGGAACAGTTGAGTTGTCCAGGGACAGTGGCTCTTGATATAACAGGAAGGGGATGTCTCTGCTAGAACTGCCACAGTCAGTGGCTGAATCAAGGAGCCTCCAAGCCAGTGAAGCTCAGCCTGCATGATCCTGTGGATAACCCTTGTCTTGAGGGGAGGAGACCAAGGTTCAGAGAGGTGAATGTTGTATGAGGTCACATGGCCACAATCTAGGTTTTCACACTTGTTACTCTTTCTACTGTTGTCCTGGCTGCTTTTGTCGTAGCTGTTGTGTACAGCCTTCCAAAGATACTTTGCTGCTGGAGTTTTTCGTGTTTCTGGCCTCTCTTCCTCTCTTGTGCATTTGGTACTTTCCTTTGGCCAGTGAACTTGTGCCCTTTGTCCAGTTAACCATGCCCATCCAGCCAGGGCAACGAAAGCACACAAGTTGTGTGATGACTGGGCTTCATCTTCTGTCAGGACGAACTCAGGAAGAGTTGCGTTCTATCAGAAACACAGGAGGCTGCCTCATTTTCCAGAAATCAATATGCCTTGTATATACTTAACGAGATTTCTGACTTTCACTTGAACTCTTTGCCACTAAGAAATCTCCATCTTTACTCCATCAAAGACAGGAAGAAGGTGGGAAGCCCTATTGATTATCCTGGAGCCTAGGCTCATTACTTTATAGAGAGCATCCTGCTTCGATCCTTACAGCACCATAGTAGGCAGAAGGTGCTGTCTTGTCTGTCAGCCTGTTAGACACTTTACATAGGAGTGAACCAGTCTCTCTGGGTTCTGAGATTCCTGGATAGTCCCGGAGCTGGGGCCAGCTCTGTGCTTTTCACTTGCACCTGTTATGAAACAAAGGCAGCAGCCATACACCCAGCAAGCTCCCTGAGTCTCGGTGGGGCTGATGTGTTTCCAGTGCACTTTACTGCTTGAGAGGGTGGCCTATGATCAGGCATGAGCATAGCAGATCACTTGTGACCTAGAAGCTCCCTGGATCACTCATCCTTCTCAGGGAGGAAGTAAATGGATGCAGGCTGCTACCTGGAAGAGCCTCCTGAGAGATACTCATTAGAAGCCCACCTTGACAAAGGGGGAGCAGATTCATCTCAGCTCACTTGTTTGTTCTCTGTGCACAGGGACCTGGTTGAAAACACCTGGAATGTAACTAAGAAACAACAGATAAGTCTCAGCAGATCATTTTTCTCTCTGTCATCCAGATCTGAAAGCCCAAGGGGTCCTGTTTCCCAGCACAAACACTTGCAGCTGGTGGAGAAAACACAGGTGGAGAGAACAGAGTTAGACAGCTCCATTGCTTGTGTGCACTGGATGGAAGGGGGAGGTGAGAGATGTGAAAGCAATCACTGACCTCCGAGGCTTCTGGCCTCTTTTCTTTCATATTCCTTTTACAATGAACCCTAACTGAGACGCCCAGGAGGGCATCCACAGAGGTGTGAGATTGGAGGTGTATGCTGGGACGTGTCTTCCAGTCAGTACCACAGTCGCTGTCACCTATGAGTGTGGCTTAGTTCTTAAAGTGGTGTGACCTGGGGCTCACACTTGTAAAATGTTTTTTTTTCCCCTGCAGAGTCATGGTCTTCGTGGGATCCTGGAAACATCCTAGGCAAGGAAAGAGTGGCAGCACGTTGTGTCTTGCCTCACTGGGCTCCTGGAAGTCATTTCACTCCCAGAGCCTTGGTAGCGTTTCCTTAACACAGTGAGAGAGCATAGGTGGGAACTATGGACACTTAATCCCAAATGAACTTGACCCGCGAAGACTTTTGGCCTGGATATTCTGATCACTGGGCATATTTGAAGGTTGAGCCCTCAAAAGGAAAGCCAAAACAGCTTCATTTGACAGGAGACTGGGAGCTGGGAAGATGAAGAGACACAATGGCAGAAAGCAATGGTCACCACATGAGCCAAGGCCCAGTGCTCTCTGGGTTCTCCAGAGTGCTGAGCATTAGTGCATTTTATGTTGTTCTTTCATGACCACATCTTGATAGAGGCTGCTGCTCCAGAAAAACCAAAGTCTGTGATCATGATCCCCCTACCAAGTTTGTTTTGAAAATCCCAGAGTTACAGAGAAGTTGAAGGAATAGTACAGTGAGCCTTTCCCTTTGTTCCAGACCCACCAGCCTCAACACTTTGCCACCCTCTCCCCTTTATCCCCTCAACTCTCCCTCAGAGACATTTGGAGGAAAAAGTGTCATGTCTACAACTTTTAGGTGGTTCAGCCAA